TGCTTGATTACAAACAAATAAATTAAGTGGTACAGATATGTTCTTTAAATTTCTACAAATTCTGATGTGAAATTTTATATGCCTAACACAAGGTAATTGAATTTCATACTGTGATGAACCATTACTGTGTTTGAATAACATAAGCAACTTATCCAAAAACACTAATTATTTGAAAAAAAATGTAAACTAGATGTAGTTCTGATTGGCTGATGTGTTCATTGACTAACTTTTTTAATCCATTACTTTAATGGATTAAGTTGCATTTTGCTTCTTTAAATGGTAACAATGAGTGTGATTCATTAAATATAAACAACAGAGAAACAGTATATAAAACTTACATGCGGTTTGTCAACCTTTAGGTAATCAAAATACAAATCATGGTATCAGTTCGGCAATGTATTTCTTCTTAGTAAAACATATTATTTATTTATATTGAGCATCTTCAAATGTAAATAAAAAAAAAAGGTTATTTATAAAACCAACAGAAGGCATTTCATTGCTATTAAGTAAATTTACAGTAAACAGTGCACTACATTAGCAATTGTTTATTGTAGACAAAAGACTTTTGATTCTTAAAATGTTAAGCATATTAGTGAATAATAATAATAATACAAAGCGAATTTCATGTTAGCTGAATTTTTAACAACAGCTTTTAAATCATGAAATACCTAATTCCCAAGAGAAATTGATCTCACTGACATGAAACTAATGTATGTACTGTTTGTATTAAAAGTTAATGTAAAAAGTATAAGTCCTTGGTCTTATGATGAAATACAAGTACACAGCAAAATTCAGATTTGGACAACCGTGTCTTTTTTTTTTTGTCCAAGAGCCTAATAAACATTTTTTAATAAAGATTTTGTCTGAAATAAATATGTTAAGAAGGTGACTACATGACTTTTATCAATCCAGATTTTGTTAAAATGAACTGACTCTAAACATCTGAGATTACTTAAAGCTACAGCATAAGACATGACTTGCATTGACACGATGTTCTAAGAACTAAATTGTAGTTAAACTAGATACTGTCTTATCACAGACAAGTCATGTAAATGTTTCATTTAAAAGCAGAAAATGTTTTAAAGTTAACATTAAATTAGAAAATTGCATTACTTCCAGGATTTTCTTCTTATTGAAACAAATCATTCTTCATGGGACCTGATATTATGAGATTTATAGTGTTTTGCAGTTGCAGTAAACAACGTTTTGGGCCATTGTAACTATTAATTGTCCAATCTCTAATATTTACTTGATTTCTGAGTTTTATAGCATGATAATTAAATAGAACTAAATTGTGAGCACTTACATATTTTTTGTTGTGAACCTATCTGTATGGTTGATAATTGGTACTGATGATACTGTAACTTTTTGTAACTATGTAGTATTCTTCAGAAGCAAATCATTATATTAGTAATAGTTCTGTTCTTCTATTTAATTGATAAGGTAAATGACATGTATTATTTCAAGTTTCGTTTTGTATTACACATAACTGTTATTGTAACCAGACCTTTTGTATAGGGAAAAAAATAGGAAGCATGAAAACACCTCATGATATTCAGATCAATATTCTTAATATTTTAAATTTTTGATTAAAGTCCCAGTTTTTGGTTCAGTATTACATTTACAAACTACATGGTTATTGTAAACCTTTAATTCACACTGCCATTTATCAACCGATACCAAATTAGTTTCTCAGTTAATTTTAGTTTTTAATACTTTTACATAGTTATAGTTGAACACTCAGTAGATTTTTGGCTGCTGTATACACAACATCTGAGTTTTGATAGAACATATTAAACATCATGTATATAGAATAAAATATTTTTTTATTTTGGATGGCCTTTCACTAATAATAATTTCAGAAAGTGTCTCTACACTTACTTTGTACAATGGTATTCATGTTTGATCATTATAATTTTATATTATTGTAATTCATAATGTGAGTTTACATTTGACAGTAATTTCCATTTGGACATTTGAAGTGAACGTTGTTTTAGTATAATAACATTTTAAGGTGGACGATTTGTACCATACTTGTTGCATAATGTTAGTGCTCATACTTCATGATGAGAAATGCATTTGATGTAAATAAGTAAATATTTTTTTATAGTAGAGACAGCTGTAATGGGTATTAAAAACTTTTATCTAAAACATAAGACAAGAAACAATGTTTGACTTCCTGAGGTCAACATCAGGTTAAGACTGATTTTTGAAAAAGTCATTCTTAACCTGATGATGACTTAAGGAAATAAAAAATGTTGTTACTTGTTTTGTATTTTTAATATGCACATCAATGCTCATACTTGTTTGTTGTTACAAAGGTTCATGACCAGTTTGTGACCTAGTAAATGTATGATGTTTACTAGAGCTGGATGATTAGTGGTATTTATTAATCAATTAATCTGTGGCCCCATTAATTGATTATACAGTGTTCCTCAAACCATGGTACATACAAACAAACAAAAAAAAGTTGGTGGCAGGTACTGCCAGCCAGTTGCCTTCCCTCTGAACAGTAGTTCAAAATTAGTGACATTGGCTGATATCCTTAGTAGCTTTGCCATAATATAGACAGGGCAAGCAAGTAAACTTCAAGTAAAAAAAAAGTCTAAAATATGGCTGAGCATAGTTTAGTCCATTATGTAGCTTTGTGCTTAACAACAAACAAATATAATAACAATATTTAAATTCTTTGGATAATTGGAATAATTGAAAATAGTAATAATTGGAAACACTATTTTTGATTTTTTGGTTATTTTTGTGACTATCAATTTAATTGTAATTTTGAATACTCACTCAATTTACATTACACTAATTGATGTAATCACTGCTCGTAGCTAATAAATTAAAGCATTCAGCTCTAAAGTTTTCCATTATATGTAAATATAGCTAAGATATGAAGTTCATTTTTATTTTAAAATACATTATATAAATTTAAATATAACTTTTAAAATTTGCTTCGTGTATATAGAAAGTAGTATGCTCATTTATTACAACACCCCATGACTCTTTTAGTTTGGTTTGTCGTGCCTACGAAATAAAATTATTTTCCAAAAAAATAGGAAGAAGCATTAAAATAGCTGAATTATTGAGTTTCTCATATTATCAATGAATTTAGTATGATACACATTTAATTTATTTGAAATTTTAAGAGAAAAGCAATATATAACCACAAATGGCTATAGTACAGTAGAGTTGTTCAAGATCTTTAACCTAAATACAAGATGGTGCAGTGCTGTCACGCATGATTGGTTTTAGTTTTTGTACCTGTCATCTCTGAGAAAAATTTGAGATTTTCACATTCTGAGTTTTTCATGCAGGTTCATGTAGGTATATAAAGGATGATTTTTTTTCCCCTTCAACAACATCACCCAGTACAGTGTGGTGTTACATTGAAATGTCAAAACAGAGAGAATTAACACCCTGTTACAGAATCTGATTGAAATCATACACAATACTGGTTGGAGTTTAAAAGAATAAATTGCAAATAACCCCAGTTCACTGTAACTTGCACATTAGACAGATCAAATGAAACCAAGTCTTGTGACCACACACAAAACAGGGGATGTACAAAAGAGCTTATTAAAACTGATGTTGGATATCTAAAAATTAATTTCCTGAAAAACCAAATGAAAACTTTGAATAATCATGCTTTTCACATTAACAAGTAATCCACAAATAAAGTTTCAAGCTGTACAGTGTCAAAAATGGTACAAATATGTGGCTTTTAGAAGGGCAAGAAAGCTCTTACCAAGCAAAAATAACATGGAAAGGACATTACCTTTTGGCAATAGAACATGTTTCCTGGTCTTTGAAACAGTGGAACAAAGTGTTTTGGACAGACAATTCTAAACTTGAACTGTTTGGTTCCAACTAATGTGTAGATGTTTGCTGAAAAGTCAATGAGAGATTGTAGAAGGAATGCCTTTGTGCTGACAGTCAAACTGGTAGGAGGCTCTGTGATGGTTTAGGGTGCAATATCTGTGAATAGTGCTGGCCATCACTGTAAAATTAATGTAATCATGAATTAGCGTAAATAACACAGTATATTAATCTATTGTGATATATCCTATGAAAAGAAGCTAATTAAGCAGAATTTCATACTTAAAGATGATAATAACCATAAACAAACTTCCAAGAAATCTCAAACTTATTTGGCAAAGAAAGAAAACTCAAGAGTTCTTCAGCAAATGGAATGAACACCACAAAGTCCAGACTTTATCCCCCATAAAACACATTTTCCCAAACTCTATACTTTAATAAAGGTACCAACTATACTAAAGAAAACCTCTAGACACAGCTTCAAGAGAAATTGAATCAAATTACATCAGAAACTTTGAGAGGATACATAGATACAATGCCAAGCTGTTATTTATGTCAAAGATGGCCACACTAAGTATTATAACATTAGAGAAAATTAGACATCATTTGTACACTAATGTTATCATTTTTTCTGTAAGATTAATTTGCAATGATTACAAAATACCTTGTGTAGCAAATCGAGGACTATTTTGTGTGAAAAACTCATAAAATGACAATTGTTGAGGTGTTATAATAAATTTACATACTACTGTATATGGCTTTGTGATAATTTCTGTCAGAGAAATTGCAATGTTTCTTTTAGATGAAGCTGATCCCTTTCGTTTCTTGGGATATAAAAATAAACGATCTAACAATACCCAAAAAGGACAAGTATCGTGGTTCATTGATTGGGATAGTCAATTCCCTGAAGGTAAGCAAATCCATAGTCTGTGTTAATTAGTTATTAGTTTGGGTAGTATAAAAATATATTATGTAAATTGGTATTACCACAAATAGGTTTTGATTATTTGACATGCACAAAGTTTAGTTGCATAAATAGATCGAACCATGTTTTTGTTGTCACCAAAGATACTTTAAAACAAATTGTATCATAATAGCAAATAATAATAATAATAATAGGTTCAAGTGATATTGATATTAGATACATACTGAATCCTCAGTCTAAGAAAAATACACTATTTTAACATTATAATCATTACAGTTACTTAAAGCCATGGAAGGAAACCTATTGAAAGGATTAAACAATTAAGAACGTGTACAATGATCATGTTCTTCAGTATCTGATGCTGCTGTAATGGTCACGCACCCCCCAAAACCCTTAGAACTGCAAGAGAATGTTTCAAGACATTTGTTAATGTCTCAAATGACAATACCTTTATCAGCCTTGTTACATGGCCTTAATTATATACTTCCTGATTTACATTCTTGTATTTACCAGTGTTTTAAATGGTCTCTGAACAGTTTCAGATATGTTACTTGTCATTTTAGTGTACAAAGCTAAAAAATGCACATTGTTTTATCAGTGTCAGAGACATTACTTTTCATCCTAGCAGACAAGCATATAAAATGCACATTGTTTTAACAGTTCCATACATTTTGTTACTTGTCATTCTAGTATACAAGCTTATAAAGTGCACATTGTTTTCTATTATTTTATGTTTCATTTGCTAGCTTGACACTTTGGATTAAAAAAAAAAAATTTTTTTAAACATTAAACTATATGAGCTTTACTTTTTTTAGCACAAATAGCATTGTTGGATTAGATATATATTTATAGATATTGTTATTTTGTATATTGTTTTGTGATTGTAACTTAGAGCGCTGGGTGGATAAAAAAAACAAACAAGTTAATCTTCAGTCCTTTCACCCTATAAATTTGTCATTTGCTAATTAAAATTCCTTGAACTGTAATAATTTTTTAAATCTTTGTTTTAAGTCTGTCTCATTAAAAATATACATTGTATATTTCAGATGCAACAGATGTTTGTTTTCGATACTACCATGGAGTCACAGGAGCACTCAGAGCTGTTAGTCCTGTTGTTACATTAAGAAAGTCCACCGATGTCAGCAGCCAGGTATTGTTGATATTTTGCTAGAAATGTATGATTTCATATTTGGTTTTTCTATTTATCCTTTATATTTGTATGTCATCAATCTACCTAATTAGCAAAAAAAATCTGTCATTTTGAAACTTATTACAGATTTCATATTGTATACTTTCTGTCAAACAATAGACAACCAAATTGTAGTTATAATCCCAGCAACATGTTATGTTATTATTTATTTCCAAGGAAATGTGTAATTGCAAATCTTTATTGTTTAATTATGTATAAAGCCCACTGAATGTCATTATCAAGAAATAGAATTTTGTTTTACATATTTTATGTTTTATCATGTAATAGAACACGTGCCCTGATGTAACACAAATTCAGATATAACATAGTCAGTGTTTGGCTCCCAATTTTCTATCACTAAATTTGTGAGTTTGATACTTTTCAATTAAGACTTTGTAGTGTAATTCAATGATTTTGCCAATTTTTATTTAAAAGAATTGTCCTTGTTGAGTTTGTTTTCGTCACATGACCAAAGCATGCTACTTCCTAGAGGGCAGACCAGTGTATAAAAGCTGAACAGAAAAGCGATTCTAATACATCCTATTTGTCTTCTGGCATATTTAGGTGTTTTTTATCAAATCTGTGCATAGCCTTTGGTTTTCACAATTTAATTAATTTTTCTTATTGTACATGATGGATAAATCCTCATGTAATTGCAAATCATCTACTGTCAAAGATAAACTGTATGCTCTGGGTCAAATTAAAAATTGTAAACATTAAACTTAGGTTGCTCATGACTTTGAGATTAGTGAATCCATATTACAAGGTTGGAAAAAAGCAGCATCAGCATACGTGTCTTACAGCTAAGAAGCGTGCTAGATTTTGCTCATTGCCAGAAGTCCGCTGGAATGAGACAATAAATATTAGATGATTTTTTTTTAAAAAATAAAAATAGATTTTTGAGACATCTTACATGTTATTACAGTTTTTTTATGTAATTTTATGTTTTTTTATCAATTGTAAGTTTTATGTTAGCAGTGTTCAGCATTTTGTTTTCATACACAACGTGTTTGTCTATATGTTTGTTTGTACAAAAAGATAATTGTTGTACTGCATCTAACCATGTGAACAGTGTAATTAATAAACACAAACATGTGACAATTTTGACATGCCATAGTTTATGTTTTTCTTGTTCTTAAAATGGCTGGGATAATTTGGGTATTTGAAGCTCTCAAATGAATAAGAAAACATCTCGTGTACTGAATAACAATGCAAGGGATATGGAAAATGACCATTTGTGGGTTACCCTGAAATAACAAAACCACACATTTAATACAATCACATCTTGTGGACCTAAACTATCGTGTTATAATGGGGTATGTTTATTCATTAGAACCTGGTCTGAGTCAAATTAAAACTGCTACAATAAGCCTATAGATTTTTCTGGAAACCAATATTTGTTGTGGATGTTGCATATAGTCATTTTCAACTTTCACTTAATACTATAATAATTTGAATGAAACCAATATTTGTTGTGGATGTTGCATATATATATATATATAATTATAAAAAACCTTACAATAATAACTTGCAGATTTAATGTTCATATAGGTAGATGGTAGAAGGCTATTTGTGTAAAGGAATAGCTTATAAGCATTTATGCTAATTATAGGGATTTATATGAAGTGATGGTATTTTTCATGCAACCCTCTCAAAGTTTTTGTAGCAGTACTTTATATTTGTGTAAGTGTATGTGAAAATCCTAACGTATAGGAATGTTATGATTAGATGTTCACATACATTTAAAGGAGCCATGTTTGAGTTCAGACTTTCTCGGAAATAGGCCCTGTTTCAAATTTTGTAAACTTCATTAGAAATTCAAGACCAGAAATATCTCTTCCTTGTTTAGTTTCTAATGTTGTATTTTGTTACATGTTTTATTGTAGTCATGTAGATGTGCAAGGTGTTCACACTGTAAGAACATTTTTGAATAAAATACTTTTTTTTTTATTAGAATGGTTCAAGCAGTGAAGAGGTATTTTTACCTTCTAGTAGTCAACAAACTCTTACTGAGATGGTGAAATTCTCTCTCACAAGTGAGTGATAGAGTTATTAATTATGTGACTCTCTTTTAGGAATGTTATTTTGTGGTAGAGTTTGATAGCTTGTTGACCAGTTTGAGTAGCAGTGTTATTTAAAATAGTAGTTATTTTAGGTTAAACTGACAGTGCCAGCAATATCCTGTTGGCTGCAAAAAGGATCGTGTTGACAGATTAAAATGACACCATTTAGTTTACTGTAGTTTATATATGTTTCTTCCAGTAAAAGCCACATGGTACTTTTTAATTATACATTTATAATGAAGCATCAAGTATTCAGTCATTTATTTAAAATAATGATGTGTTACAATATTCAAAAACTCCTTTTATTGCATAGATATATATATCTGAAGAAACTTCTCCAAACTAGCCCTTATTAGCATATATGTACACTTGACCTTTTATTTTACTAACTATATTTAATCTGAACTTAAATTTTGAAATATTGTTAAAACTTAGAAACACTAATGGTAGTATAATTTTATTTTATTAGTTGTTAGAATTTTGGTAAGATCAAATATTTATTTGCCTTTTGATAAAAACAAATGATAAAGAAAACCATGGACTGATGTTACTATGAAAAACTGTCGGGTGTTTTAGCATCTTGCTTTTATACTTATAGTTAGGGCAAAAATTTGGCTGTCAAATTCTTTTTGTATATGTTCTTTCTTAAGCATGATAGAGATTACAGTATTTATATTGTTTAATGCTATTTTTATCCTACAATATGGTGGTTCCTAATCCTTAAAATGACCTTGACTGCTTTCAGTGTTTAGATTCTTTGCCAAATGATCTTGAAGTTCTTCATCTGTGCCAGATATGTAAATCTTTAAGTTGCTTAAAGTAATAATGTTCATAGGCTTACACGTACAGACAGATGGACACAACTAACCCAGAAAACAGAGATGATATTGAAAATTTTCTCAATTTAAAATCAACCCATAATTCATAAAATAAAATTTTACAATTCAGACATGGCATTTATTATTGAATGTTAAAACAGGAAGATATTTTCTTTCCTTGAGAGTTTTACCAGTAATTTACTTTGAGTTGGTATAGTAATAAGTCATAAACTGTTGACAAAGATAAAGTTCTCTTCTTATATAAAATAACTCTATTGATAATTGAAGACAACTTAAAACCTTCTTTATGTGCATGAAAAGATTCGTATAACTAGGTATAAACTAAATATGCTCAGCCAAAGTGGCTTAAATAAACTGCAAAAAAATGTTTATTGTTAAAAATTTTCAAATGTGTAAGTAAACTCAAAATTCTGTGGTTTAATTTTTTTTTTTTTATGGTGTGCATATGCAACAATGATGAATGGCAGATAAATTGTTTTGTGGTACAAAGCTGGCACAAAATGTATTTTTTTAGTTGTAATACATATTTCATCCACTAATTGATATCTCATACTTCATATAATGATTCGTTTTCACTAAAACTGAGCTTTATCCTTCTCAAAACAGATTTAATTAGTTACTATATAGTATATTCCTTGTATATTTTATTAAATATTTGTTATTTGCTAAATTTCTATGTATTTTTTAACAAGCTGATATTCTGGTTTAATTTGTTTGTTTTTTTACTTCAGACATTCAAGCCAAGAATCTTAAAAAAGGAATGTTTTTTAGTCCTGATCCATACATAAAGATTTCAATTCAACCTGGTAAAGAAGAAACCATACCATTGTCCCATCATGGTCAAGAATACCGGAGTGCAGTAGTGGACTCGACTGTTAATCCTTGCTGGAATGAAAAGGTTTGATTTATTTTATGCTAGTTATAAACGTTTTATAATCTAATAAGCTATTTTCTAAGAAACTTTTGTAACACCTAGTGCATCACCTTGAAGACCTAAATTGTTGCAAGTTGACCATCACATGTTAAAAAGTTTTGTAATGCTCTATATTTTATCATCACCCAATGCCATGCTATATCTCTCTCTGTTATATTACTATCTTTATATGTTTGTTTCTACCTATACTCTTTTCTCTATAGGTGTATGAACATACATGGGTAAAACAAATAATGAAAGCACCTCATTCTTTTAACTCCAGTTTTTGGTGTCTCTTTTAAGTGGGAAAAGTGTAGCCTTATGGGTAATATAACTATGCATTAAATTATTCTGTGTCATTGTCATTGACTTTATATGAATTGAAAGGCTCTAAAAATGTCAAGTAAAGACAAACTGTCAGATTTCCAAAGAGGCATGATCGTAGATGAATATCTAGCTAATTGTCAATAAAATAATGAATGCATCTCAAGGAACAGTGTTAAAAGTGATGTCAACATGGATATAAAAAAATAAAAATGTATCAGACAAACGTAATAGTGGTCGAAAAACTAAGTTAACAAATTGTGACGGACAAACATTAACACAAGTAATGAGATGAAAACAAATGACTACAGTATCAAAAGTGTGTGCAGAACTTAAGGTTTGCTTACAACAATCAATTTCTATTAAAAAAACTCAAAGGAAGCTGCACCAAATACGTTACAATAGTAGAAATCTCTAATAACACCAAAAAATGCAAAACTCTGAGTAAAGTAATGTCAAGAATATAAAAATTGGATGAAATTTCATTGGAAGAATGCACTTGATCAGATAAATCATGTGTTATATCAAAAACATGTTTTTTGTGTAGTAAAAACTGAAAGAAGCTCACAACTCTGAATGGCTTATGGCACCAGTTAAGCTTGTTGGAGGTTCTGTGATGGTATGGGCAACATTTTGTTTGAAAAGTTTAGAGCCCATGATCTCATTGAAAGGTAGAGTGATGGTAAATGATTACTTAAACTTGATTACAGACCAGTTTCATCTTGTAACAAATACTTTATTCCCAAACAAATGTGTTATGTTTCAAAACGTCATTGCACCAATCCATATTGTTCAAATTGCTAAAGACTGATTCAAAGAACATGACAGTTTGGAATCCTAACTTGGCCTCTACAGACAATAGATTTAAATGTGATTGAGCCTCTGTGGTTGATTCAGGAAGCCAAGTTTTGTTGCAGATTTCCACCACCATAAAACTGCGTGATTACAATTTTTACCCTCACCCTTAGAGGGGGGGGGAGAGGGTATTGAAATCTGGTCTTTGTGTGTCTGTGTTTCCACTCGTGTATCTCAAACTAATAGATATGAAAATTTTACACAAAATGGGAATTCAGTATGGGACAGCCCCCCTGAAATTTGATGTGGGCCAAAAACCCATATTTAGATTTTGGACCTCTTTGAATAATTTTTTTATAATGGGGAGATAGAGCATTTTCTTGGTTTTTCGTTAATAACTCTGTGAAGTGGGATCAGATTTCATGGGAACATTAAGGTTGAGACTCCTCATCACAGTACAAAAAATGATCTGGATTGTTGATCATTCAGGATCAGAGAAGGATTTTCTGAGTTTTTTTAAAGTGAAATATCCAATATAAATGCATGCTATCTCTAAAAGAAGTGGCTGGGTGAGGATATGAAATCTCTCTGATTGCTCTTATTTTATATCTGTTTAAATGTTGTACCAACAATTAGAAAATAAAACTCTGAATGTCAAAAACTGGTGAAGCTTCAGTGTAGCATAATTTTTATCTCAATTGTTATAAGAGACTAAAATATTTGCAAAGCTACAAAAGTTTTAAGGTTTGCTCAAACTATTCAAAGGAAAGAGTAGCCCAAGAATTGGCAGTGGTTGATATTGACTAGCTGCTATCCCTTTATTAGGGACAGCAAGTGCAGATAGTCCTCAAGTAGCTTATTGGAAGTTTTTTTGGCATTAAATATTTAAAAACTGTGCGTGTTAGACTCAGAACTTATTTTTTTCATAATTAAATGATAAACATTTACAGAATATAAAATATGATTGTTGTTGTTGTTTTTGAACTTTCAGATTTTTACAGTTTTGTTGTATTATAACTTTCACAGTTTGAATTTGTTGCTTCACCATTTGACAATTTGGAGTTTGAAGTCAAAGATAAATTTTCGAAGAGCAGGCCAATCATCAGTCGTTTCTTAGGAAAACTCAGCATTCAGGTTTCTTTTTTGAAAGAACAGTATAGTGGGTAAGACTTGGTCTTATTTTTATTATAATAAGCCCAGAATTATTGTTAGATTATTCATATTTGTTGTTTCTATTTTTTCAGTTGTACTTAATTCAGGAACTGCTAAAATACAATATATTTAAAAATTGAAATATTGATTAAAATCAATCAAAGCATCTTTGAATATTGCAATGTGTTAATAAAGAGTTAAAAATTTGTCATTTAAAATGTATTCAAATCTGTTAAATTTCTGTAGAAGTAAAACAATAAGTAATGATAGAAGTTTGTGTCAATAAAAATTTTTGTCTTTCAAAGTTTGAAATGATCATTAACAATCAAATCACTGGTAAAATCTGAAAATTGCAGATGTAATTTAACGAATTCTTATTAGTAAACTTGTATGTAAAAATTTGATTGAATGTTTAGTGAAATAATTTAGAAGCAAAATGCTTATCAACTTAGGGGGTAAGTAAAAAGTGTAAATGTAAAATAAAATGTATGATTGTGTAGTGTGAGAAGAGGAGAGTACAACATTTATGCTGTCTGAAGTTATAGATTAAAAAGTGTTTTCTTTTTAAGTGTATCTAAGTCGTTCATACTGGGTAAGGAAGCTTAGTTGTGTAAAATATAAGTGAGAAATGGATAATATGTATGTAAATTCAATCAAATTTTCAGAAAAGGATTAAATTATGTAAAATGTACAGTATAAAATAACCTCAGCAGTATGGTGCCTCATTTGTTTGGATTAATTATTTCAGTTCCATGGGAATACATATAGGCACTATATATTTTTTTGTTTTACCCCTGAAAAGTTTAATATTATGTAAATGTTCTTAGAAATAGACACGCAACAAATCAGTAATTTTATAATTAAATAAAGGTATCATAAATGTTCCTCTGTGTATCTCAAAATAAACCTGACACTGGGAGTGTTATTTGTGCATAATTATGGCAGTGAAAGAGATTTGTATGTTCTGTTGTTTCATTAACAACATAATGAGATTAGAAAAATTTTTGTCTTCTTATTAAATATTGAAATTTCGCAAACCATATGTTGTGAAAGCTAAAATTATCACTGCTTGAGACACTTATCAGACTCCTCAGTAATGCATATGATTTGTCTTAAATGCATTATGTAACTACAAACCATCATAGTTTATACATATTTAGTACCCAAGTTGATGTGCACCTTCATAGTTATACCTAATACTTTACTATAATTATATACATGAGTTCAGTAGATTCTTGGGTGTAAGACATGTTAATGTTGAATTATATTAGAAAAATTAACCAATCACAGTCATGTACTGTTTCATCAGTTAATCAGTGAATATAAGTATTTTTGATGTACTTATAAATTGTGAACTGTTTTTTTCTTTCTTGGATGTATGGATGCAATTTTTTGTAATTGTTTTTTAAAGATATAAAGAAAACGATTAAGTATGGAATTGAAGTTTGTTATTTTATAAAAACTAATATATATATTTTTGTTTCAAGTCATATTGTTTTTGTTTTGTCTTCAACTTCTCTAGTGATCTGTTTCATGATACTGCATACTGACTCTATATTAGTTTGACAGAAGACCATCATAAGCATTTTGTAACTTCTGAGAACCATATATAATAAAGATTATTATGACTCCAAAAGCAAAGTCGGCCAGGTGGTTAGGGCGCTTGACTCGCAATCTGAGGGTCGCGGGTTCGAATCCCCATCACACCAAACATGCTCGCCCTTTCA